AGTCACCGGAAGGGCCTTGGGGACCGAGAGCTGCCAAACAGTAGCCACGGCAGCTGCCGCTACTTCTGCCGAATATGAGGTATTTTCCGTCCCTAGCGGCATGGACAGAAATGGCTCCAAAGAGCCCCCTGCAAACCCCGCAAAAGCAAAGGACTTTCGACCATGCGCCAGGCCTTCGAAAACCGCACAAATTCCCCACCCACAATTGGAGCTTCCCGAGCTTCTGCAAAGAGAGCCGTCAGAGAAAAGGTGAAGGTGCTGGTACACTTCCAAGGCCGGAACGCAGCAGCGCAAAGCCTGACCGAAGCAAGCGGGTGAGTTGGGAACACTGCACAAGTCCCCTCGCCAGAAATGAGCCCACGGCTCAGCCAAATCTCTGATGCAACGATGGAGGGTATGTTCTTCCGACGGGGTCGGTAGAGAGTCAGCCAGGGGCAGCACAGCGGGAGCGCTAGGCACGGGCTGAGTCACTGGCTGTCGCACTGGGATGCACCTGCGACCTCCGGGGGTGGGAATCGTAACACCGAGGGCTTTGGACACAGAGGCAGGAAGTGCTGAACCCGCCGGCGCTTCCGGAGCAGGAGGCACTGTGGGGCTCTGTGGGCGGGCTGAGGCATGGTCCGGGGACCTGGAAGAAAGGGACCGGGGTTGGACAGGCAAGGCAGGCGAGGCACAGCGAGGGCTCACAATCCCCTGTACTCGAGCTTGGCTGCAGAGGCGGGCATTCTTAGCCTGATCAAGTCCAGGGGCAAGGCTGGCCAAAGAGGTGCCAGAACCGGGCAGAGAAACTCGCGTCCGGCGTATGTAATGGCCATTCTGAGGCCTCACAAATGGCTCTGCCACATAGCCGGGGGCTAGGTATACCGCAGTACCAAGGTGCTGCTGAGTCGGCAAAAGAGGAACCGAAATAAGGTTATCAAGCCCAAAGCCAAGAGTGGAAGCAACAATGGCCGTAGCCGTGCCAGCTTCCGGGTCAGCCGTCACGAAGATTGACGTTTCGCCTGGGAAAGTCTCACAGGGAAAAGCACGAACCCCCGCGGGCATCTCTGGAATAGAATCCAACACAAGCTGAACATGCTCAAGAGAGGGCTCAGGGCCCGGCAAGTACAGCATGACCGGTCCATGATGCATGCCCATAACCGTCACGGGGTACAAGTCCGGGCCAGCATAGCCCATTAAATGGATCCTGGCATTGATGTGCCTCGTCAGCTCATCGCGCATGATGGCCGAGTTATCCCTTGTCTGAGCCAGGGTGAGCTGTTGCGGGACCGGCCTAGCATCAACCAACGGAATGGGCAGTGTCAAGACCCGAAGGTGGGGCATGAGCAGCACAGCATGGCCAAAGTGGAATCCGGGCACAGGTTTATTGGGTCGGCTGAAGAAAATCACGTCGCCTGTCTCCAGTGAGCGCCTGAGACAGGAAGCAGCGACCCCGTTCACCGACAGGGCCCACCCTTGACCCTGCAGAGTGTAGGGTAGGACCTGCTCAGCCATCGTGCCCCTCGGCAACGTCAGCATTTGGAGCTCGCCATGAGCACACCGAGCATCAAAGATGACATGCACATGAGTGCCAGTGCGCTCGGCCCAGATAACCGGCACCAGCCAAACACGGTTGTCAATCATAGGGAGAACCCTGGAGCTCTGCAAGAAGCCCATTCTCGGGCCGTGCCCTCTTCGCAAAATCCTGGCAAGGAGGGGGGCAAGGGTTTCAGCAAGAGAGGATCCCATGGGGGACAAGGGCCCGTACTCCGCGGAGTGTGCTGTGAACACAACGAGCTGATTGTGATCGGCCAGCATATATTCGGCTGTGTGGTCAACACCTTGCCGAGTGATCCTAACCCCTGCCCATTGCATGGCACCAGTGGTGGTAGTCGTGGATCCCATACAGGAAGGGACAGAGGCAACACTGAGTGGGCTGGTGGGACTATGCGCGCCATCCGCAGCAAGACCGGTGACGGCAGGGTCGTTCGCCCATACCGCAGGGTACGCGGGCACGAAGAACTGGACATCAGACAAAGGCCTCCTTGTGTCACCTGTGCGACCAAGCGAGTCAGCAAAGGGCACGGTGTCAGGGACGCCACTCCGACCAGCCGTGCATTCCGCCCATACAGCTTCATGCAAGATTCTCTGCGTCAAGCCAGGACCAACGACCCCGAAGATCAAAGGGAACGGCCAGAGAGTCAGCTGGCCATCCCATCTCAGTGGCAGCAACTTGCAGAATTGGTAACCGGTCCAAAGGGCTATGAAGCACCTGAATGCTGCGCAGCATGGGGACAACCAGCATGACATCCTGCACAAGGTCTTGCAGCGACCAATCGGGGCGCAAAGGGCGGATGTGGAGGTTGCCGGCACGCTCAAAGAGGGTATAATGACGCTGCAGAGGAACACGTTCACGCAGAAGGTACCTTAAGCCCGGCACTGACCCCATGCAAATGAGACGCTCAGCAGGGCCAGCAAGGTCTTCCGGTAGCACGGCAATCTCATCCGGGCCAACGGCCTGACAGTGATGCGCAACTGGCTGAACAGCAACAGCGGTAGTAGTGCAAGAGGTGCTGGCCGGTGTGCCGCGAGGTCCCCTTGGAGGAGGGACCGGAGGCGGAACCCTGAGAACAGGCCCTGCACCTCCAACGTAGTCAACCTGAATGCGCACGGGCACTGACGGGTCAGTCAACACAAGCACTAACCATTCGGGGGATGTGCCTTCAGCTGTGATTTCTTCGATGCGCCTCCCTTGCTCATCCCGAAACTCACAGAGATCATCGAGCCAAGCCTGCTCCAGCCTGCTGCCAGGATCGACCCCTTTTGCCCTCAGCTCTTCCCAAATAGGGCGCAGGGGACCAGGACCCAACTCGATCGTGTGAAGCATGCCTCCCAGTTCGCGCAGGTCCACCGGTAGAGCCCTTGTGCCAGCAGGAGCATCTTGCGCAGTGACTACGAACTGAGGGGACGGCAGGTCCGGGATAGGACGCACAATGTACCAAACAAGCCTCACGCGATAAGGCACAGAGCGGACCGCGGCCGTGATGTAGTCCAGAAGGGACCACTCAGGGCTGGAAACTCGGCTCATAAGATCCAGCCTGCAATCGAAGACCGTAAAGCGCCGACGGTCATGGTCTGAGGGGAGAAAATCAGCCAGCCATCTAGCCTCAAATGGGGACATATGCAGCAGTGGGCCACTGACCCAGTCAGGGCGAAGAGGCACGTGCGAGGCCAGCATTGCCTGCAGATCGCTGATAAGAGGGGGCGCTCTGGAGCGCGGCGCCAATCCCCCTGGCAAAGCAACGGGAGCGTTGTGTGCTGAAGATCCCTCGATGCAGAAGTCCACACGAGAAACGGCCGGGACAAGTGCCGTGCAACCAACAGGGCGCACCGGCTGCGACAGGGAAGTACCTCCGTACTGAACCTCGTCCGAGGGAGCAGCCGAAGGGGCACACACAGGAGCCTTGCACAGGTCCTTGGTGAACAGAGGGACCGATGCCGTGCTACCCAACGGGTGCACAGGCTGCGACAGGGCAGTATGAAAACTCCGATCAGTGTCCAGAGGAACTGGACCAAGATCAGCAGTAGCATGAGCAGAGAAAGCGTCGACAAGCCTCGGGACGAGCGCCGTGCCGCCAACAGGGCAAACCGGCTGCGACTGGGCAATGGCAACACCTGTGGCTGGCCTTCGTAGGATGCTCACACCGGGCTCAACACGAGAGCGGGCTGGCTGTGCAACCTCCGAGTGTAGTCTCGAACCTGGCATGAACAACGTAACATCAGCCGAGGCATTAAAGGAAACCCTGGGAGCCTCCGCAAAGCAAGGTGTGGTTCCTGTACAGTCACTGTGCACGCTACCAGAGCAAGGCCTTCGGTCTCGGTGCTGTACAATGCTTCCCTCAGAGGCAGGCCTCCTGTGCGAATCCCCAAGCTGAGAACCAGCAGAGCATTGCCAGGCCACCACTTCGTCAGACACACCCATCGCCAGGTCCATGCGGCCAATGGAGGTCCGGGACGCAAGCTCTGCCACTGCTGCTTCCTCCAAGGGGAAACCCAACAGAGCCCTCAAGAGTCCTGAAGTAGTCTTGAAGTTCAGGTAGCACTCGATCCAGGCTCAAAGGGGATGCAGACCCTCTGGGGAGAAGTCGTGAGTCAGGCCACAAGGAATGTTGGCAACCGGATGGCAGACACCACTGAGTAGCAACATCAAGTTGCGTGGTCAGGGCAATGACCATGCTGGAGACCTGGCCTACAAAGTCAGGCTCAAAAAGAATGCTGCTGAGCGGCCCATACGTAGCTGCTACGCCTAGGCCTTGCGAGGGGGCTGCGGTTTGTCCAACCCCAGCTTGAAGGGCGTAGCAGCAGCTCCACCAGGCTCTTTGGTGAGGTCCAGGGGTTTTAGGATTAGGGTTTAGGGATGATGTTTAGGGTTTAGGGTTTTAGGATTAGGGTTTAGGGATGATGTTTAGGGTTTAGGGTTTAAGGTTTAGGGTTTAGGGATTGAGGTTTAGGGTTTACGGTTTAGGAGAAACCTTGCAGTCCCAACTAGACCCTGAAGCTCCAAACCCTAACCCTGGAAGTTTATAAAGCCTTGCAAAACACCCCTGAAATGCAGCCCCTGATACTGTGAGCACCAAACGTCACAACCGTAACCGAAAAAACTCCACAATCGTTCGCCTAAACCTCAACACCCAGCCCAAAAGCGAGACCCTGCACACCCAACCCCCTGAAGAAGCCCCAAGCCTCGACATTTAGGGTCTATAGGGTTGAACTTCAAAGCCATCAACCCTAAACCCTGCACCGAGGCCCATCGTCTCAACCTTAAGCCTCCAAACAGAACCTACCTTCTTAAGGACTTATATAAGGAACTCATCATAAGGAACCCTAAAAGGGTAGGTTCTTTGCGGTCCAGGTAAACCCTAAACCCCTAAACCCCTTATAGATCCCTTATGGATCCTTTATAGATCCCTTATACATCCCGTTAAGGAACCCTAAAACCCTCTAAATCCCTAAACCCAGTCCTTTCGTGAAGCCCTTGGTGCTGTCTCGGACCTTCCGCGCAGGCCGGGTGGTTTCTACGGAAAGGAATTGTAGGCTCCGGGTTCGCGGTTCAGGGCTGTTTGGTTTTGAAATTTAGGTGAAAAACCCACCAGCTACCCTTCATTTCAGTGTAGCCCCGAATTTACCTCTTAATGAGATCAGATCTCCGAATCCGTTACACTTTAAAGGGACTTGGGGGATCCTGGAGGGATTCAGGGTGTGTTCTAACAGGATGTCCATAAGAGTCTTCTGACTTGTCGAGTGTTTGCCAAAAGGGGCTTCTACGGTTCATAAGAGTGTCATGGCAAGCTATACAACGAAGCGAAAGTACCACAAAACGCACTGGTATGCAAAAGCCAGAAACATACGAGATGCAGAAAGGGAAAGGCAATTACCAGCACACTTTCAAAAGGGGGGCTACCAGACGTCCAGGTAAGGACTCTTGAAGTATCACAAGACTTCCCCAACCCGGACCCTAAACCCTAAACTTCCCTAAACCCTTGACCCTAGACCCTAAACCCGGGAACTGCGGCGGAAGAGCGACAACAGGCGACCGTGAGGATGGGGGGACAGGAGTCGGGAATTGCAGGGAGGAGCCTGGTAGCAGGATCGCAGCCAAACAGCGGCATAGTGTGTCATGAAGCCATATAAGGATACTTCCAGCCTGTTGAACAGGTCTTTAGAATATATTATGTATGCCAAAATGATCCAAATCCAAACAGCTTAGGGATAGTCAGACTAGAATCTGACTAGAAGTGGGTATTTTTCTTGCTGCAGCGGGGATGGGTCCAAGCCGCCGGATGACCCAGCACTGGCCGAAGCCCCGTGCTGCATCTTCTGCTGTTGGCATCGCCGCCGGAACTGGTGCACTCCACACATCCTCGAGGCCATCCGGTGTGAACCTCCAGTTCTGCCACCTTCAGGGCTGAGCACCTGAGGGCCTGATGGGCCCGGCAGGATCGAAGGTGCCTAGAGCCTTGCAAGGGCGTAGCAGAAGGGCCCACGGTAGCTGTTGGCCCAGCCTGAGCTTCTGCCGAGGATGTGAAGAGCCTTCCCACTGCAGCAGCTCGTGTGAGGTCTGGCTAGCCAGTGTCGAGCTCCGCCGAGTACGAGCGACCATGGTCTTCTCGATGATAGCTGCCCCTTCTCGCCCTTCTCGTGCCATCGCAGCTGCGACATCTGCCTTGCCCGGCTCGGAACCGGAGCTAGCGCCAGCACTTTGCTGCTTCTGCTCCTCTTCACCAGGACTGGGTTCCCTCTTGCCAGCTCCCGTCCGAACTTTTCCGATCAACCCTTGATCGTGGTGAAGTGTACCGTCTCGTCGGTCACCTTCTTGTCCCATGTTAGCCACATATACATATATCTATATCTATATCTATATCTATATCTATATCTATATCTATATCTATATCTATATCTATCTATATATACATATATA